AATTTGAAAGATAAATTGCAGTCACCTTGTTGGCATTATACCAAAAACACTTCCTCGTTTCGGTCACCTAGCCGGAAGCCAGAGCCAAACTACAAAACGTACAAGTACTTGTAGACTTGTACCACCCCAAACATAGAGCTTTCTTTTGCTTGGTCAGAGACAGCAGTGCGCTTGTGTGAAATAGTGCTACTGCAGATTTAACATTCATTGTTACTTGTTATTAAATGCTTATTTAGATGAATGGCTGCATCTGACACACTCTAGCATGGACAGGGACATATCTTCCAAGATTTGGAAAAAATAATAAATCCAACTATAGCCACAGCTACCTCAGCCTGACGTTTGTGATGTTGATTTTATTTCACTACAATTCAGTTAAAAAATCCTTGTGTAACTGTTGGGAATTCACCAGGAACATGTAAATTTAAGGCTACAATGGAAAACTTATGTCCTAAAGTATTTCCATCAATTCCCTGGCTAGAGGACTATTTATAATATAGCTTCACAGATATGATACTGAATGTAAAATGCAAAAAAAAAGAAAGAGTTTGTGTGAATAACATCTTTTAGCTTCATAAATAAACAGATATATATTAAGGGTTTACAGTATACTACGAAGGCACGCAATATACTGGCCACACTGTTTGACAGTTCAAAATGCTGCGTGTTATAAAAGTGCAAAGTATGAAGAGAGGTATGATCTGTATTCATGGATGGAGAGCTGTGAATCTGTTCTTTTTAAACACTGTGTCTGTGCAAATCTCCCCATGGGTTTTCCTGCTTGAGATTGTATACATATTTCGTAAATGATCTGATTTAGGCGTATGTTAATTCAAGATGGTAAAACCCGATTCCATTAAAAAGACTAAAATATACACTTTTATCCTGAAATGCTAATAATATATTAGTCATGTTAAAGACAAGAGCAAGTGTTTTCTTAAAGAGATTCTATTTCAAAATGCTTATCCTCTTTCTCTAGATTCCGGACAGTCTGACAACTCAAACCAGCAAACTGAAGTGGATATAAAACCCCCTCCAAACGGTAAGTCTGAGATGTATAAAACACCTTTTATTACTGCTTATAGATTCTCCTCTGAACTCAGTTACTCCATATAACCTCGCTCTATAACTTCTCCTGTTACATCTTATAACCTCTTCCTATTACTCCATATAACCTCTCGCTATAACTCCTCCTATTACTCCGTATTATCTCTCTCTATAACTCCTCCTATTACTCCATATAACCTCTCTCTCTAACTCCTCCTATTACTCCCTATAACCTCTCCCTATAACTCCTATTACTCCATATAACCTCTCCATATAACCTCTCTCCATAACTCCTCCTATTACTCCATATAACCTCTCCCTATAACTCCTCCTATTACTCCATATAACCTCTCTCTATAACTCCTCCTATTACTCCATATAACCTCTCCATATAACCTCTCTCTATAACTCCTCTTATTACTCCATATAATCTCTCTCTATAACGCCTCCTATTACTCCATATAACCTCTCTCTATAACTCCTCCTATTACTCCATATAACCTCTCCCTATAACTCCTCCTATTACTCCATATAACCTCTCCCTATAACTCCTCCTATTACTCCATATTATCTCTCTCTATAACTCCTCCTATTACTCCATATAACCTCTCCCTATAACTCCTCCTATTACTCCATATAACCTCTCCCTGTAACTCCTCCTGTTACTCCATATAACCTCTCCCTGTAACTCCTCCTGTTACTCCATATAACCTCTCACTATAACTCCTCCTATTCCTCCATATAACCTCTCCCTGTAACTCATCCTGTTACTCCATATAACCTCTCTCTATAACTCCTCCTATTACTCCATATAACCTCTCCCTATAACTCCTATTACTCCATATAACCTCTCTCTATAACTCCTTCTATTACTCCATATAACTCCTTCTATTACTCCATATAACCTCTCCCTATAACTCTTCCTATTACTCCATATAACCCCTTTCTATAACTCCTCCTATTACTCCATATAACCTCTCAAAAGCCATTGTTTCTTACAGACACTATTCTCAACTGCTCTAATTTCTTAGCATTTGTTTTTATCCTCATGATATTATATAATATGCCCTGTTTCTCCGCAGGTCATCTCTCCTTCCAGGATTGCTTTGTCACCTCAGGAGTATGGAATGTCACTGAGCTTGTACGCGTGTCCCAGAGTGAGTTGGTAGGATGGAGAGATAAGAATGGGATCACCAAGGTTGTGAACTAGATTATGGGGCCTATAATGATGAGCTTACATGATTAAGGTATACTTTTTTTTAGCTCCTGTTGCCACGGCATCTGGTCCCAACTTCTCATTGGCTGACCTGGAAAGTCCAAGCTATTACAATATAAACCAGGTGACACTTGGCAGGCGATCTTTAACATCTCCTCCTTCCAGCAGGTAAGAGAGATCCATCACTATTTATTGCTTCTAACTGTAAAACACTGCTTAAAAGCTCCCTCTACAGAGTGTCAGACAGTAGGCGACTACCTAATATTCATTGTATCTAATACGCAGTCCAGTAATCAGGTTGATACCTTAGTCTATTTCTTCTTCTTTTAGAAGAAAATCACGCTACAGTGATCATAGCTTCCCACAGACACTAGACAACCCAGTGATGGGGACGAATAATGGCATTATTGTGACAAACAGCATTATTTAAAAGGACCATAGCAACTTGGGGTCACACATAAGTACAATAGTTTACCGCCCTAGTTATTCTGTGAGGTAATTAAATTAAAGACTTTATTGCAAAGACAGCAGGGCTGGCAAATAATAAAACATTAAAAAATAACTCTTTAAACAAAAGAAAGACGTACAAATCATACATCCTCAGATAGGTCTCGTTACCCTGAGCAAAAAAAAGTACCGTATGTACTCGTGTATAAGTCGATCTCATGTATAAGTCGAGTGCAGTTTTGTGACCAACAATTGTGAAATATGCTATGCCTCGTGGATAAGTCGAGGGTAAAACTTGGGGCTATGAAATTCTGTGATTTTTATAATTATATACACACACTCATACAAACACACACTGCATTATATATACACACACTCATACAACACACACTCTGCATTATATATACACACACACTCATACAAACACACACTCTGCATTATATATATACACACACTCTCATACAAACACACACTCTGCATTATATACACACACACACTCATACAAACACACACTCTGCATTATATACACACACACACTCATACAAACACACACTCTGCATTATATACACACACTCTGTGTATATAATGCAGAGTGTGTGTTTGTGTAGTGTGTGTGAACCGGGTGGGGGGAGGGCATTTTTATTATTATTATTTTTTTATTATTTTAATTTTTTTTTGTCCCCCCTCCCTGCTTGTTAACTGGTCAGGGAGGGGGGCTATCTTAATCCCTGGTGGTCCAGTGGCATGGGCTGTGAAGTGGGGGGGCCGGCAGGAAGCATTTACTTACCTTTCCTGCAGCTCCTGTCAGCTCCCTTCTCCTCCGTTCCAGTCAGCTCCACTGTAAGTCTTGCGGTCTGGTTGCCGCGCGGATCGTTGCCATGGCTCTGATGGCCACGGCTCTCTAAGTTGCCATAATACAGACAGTGACTTGAGTATAAGTCGAATGGGGGTTTTTAAGCACAAAAAATGTGCTGAAAAACTAGACTTATACTCGAGTATATACTGTACCTGGATCGAATGTACCTAGTCCGAGAAACTGTCGCATGACGTTTGACTGGGTTATGGTCTCATCCCGATCTGGCATGGAGGTACAGGCTGTCGCAGCTAAGTGCCGGCCACCAAAATAGTCTGTTTTCTTCATGGTTAAAGGGGGCTGCCCCTGGCTCTTAGGTAGTGATTGTTGGCTTCTACCTCCTCTACCCCCCTCCAAAAAGCACTCTCCTAGGTGTTAAATTCAAGGAGTAGGACCGGCTGTTAATTTTACCGGGCAGCCACATTGGACTAGGCCGACATAGAGTTCCATGCTATTGCCGTTTGGTTCTGTTGGAAGTACAGGTGGTCCTCGTTTTGCGACCTACCTGTTTTACGACAGCTCGCACTTACGACCAACTCTCTCGCGGGGTGGTAAGTGCGAGCCGTCGTGGGAATTAGAGGAATTCCCTGATTAGCTGCTTTCTTCTATGTTCGGGGAAATTTCCCCAAGCATAGATTAGAGGGATTCCCTGCTCTGCTGCGTTCGTCTATGTTTGGGGAAATGTCCCTGGACACAGACATACGCACCAGAGCAAGGAACCCCTTAAATCTATGTTCAGGGACATTTCCCTGAACATAGAAGAACGCAGCAGAGCAGGGAATCCCTTAACTCCTCACTTACTGACCAATTCGCTCTACGACCGGGTCCTAGGAAGGGAACCCGGTCGGTAAGTGAGGACTGTCTGTATTGCGGCTGTCCCAGGCCTCTGGAACCATTTTGCGGTCAGGAGAGTGAGCTCTTAGCATGATTTGGGCTTGTGGAGGGTCGGAGGTGGCCAGGGTTAACTGGCTCTTTTACTTAGGAGTCCTGCACTGCTTAATCCACAGTACTGGTACAGGATCCGTCACAGTATCTTCCAACACAAGCTTAGAAACAATAGGGACTAGCAAACCTTTCACTTCCACCACAGTGTCCCAGATAATAGAAAATGATACAATATTGTCATGTATTTTCACCACAGGGATAAAGAAAGGATGTAATTAAAAGATATCCAGCCTCTTGCATCCAACACAATGTAACAGACACTATCTAATTTAGTACTACAAATAGTAGTAAAACACTACTACTACTATAGGATATTCAGTCTCTCATTTATACCTGAACAGGTGTGTGAAAGTAAGAAACTAAAGGAAGGATATTCAGTCTCTTATTTCTTCCAAAGGGTTACAGGCTGTATAGTTAAATACAAACACAAATATAAAGCACCGCGCTTACAGCAGCAGTAGCTTAGTATCCAACAGCTCAAAATACATAGTAAAAACAAAGAGAACGTTACCTGCGCTCTGGCCGATTTAGGCCAGAGCGCAGGTAACGTTCTCTTTGTTTTTACTGTATAGTTAAATAGCTGATAAGAAACCCAACAAGTTCAACCTTTATCACATTTGTTTTGCTGTTGATAAAATTGATGGTTGATGTATATAGTATTATAATACATTTAGTCTCCCTCCTTCAACTGAAGGGTGAATGCCATGGGGAACTATATTTTTGGCTAACGGTCTTACTTTGTCTCTTTCTATTTAGTTCTACTAAACGTCCCAAGTCTTTGGATGACAGTGAGATGGAAAGTCCGGTGGATGATGTGTTTTATCCGGGTACAGGCCGGTCACCCGCAGCTGGAGGGAGTCAGGCCAGTGTGTGGCCTAATGATGTGGACACAGGTAGTTGGCCTATCCCTCTGTACTTTAATTATCTTGTTATATCTATATTTACATTTTTATATAAAAACATTATTGGAGTATATTAGTTTTGCTTATTTATGAGAATGCCCCCAAACCAGCTTTTTGTCTTTCCTTTCAGTTAGCAGACTCTTTATTTTATTTTGCCTATACGTATATTGACCTTATTTGCATTGTGCCTCATGTACACATTCTACATACACTTATAACCCAAGTACATACCTGAATTATTCATTTATGCAATTATACAGTTATTATATCATGCAGTCCCTGTACAAACTAAATACACAACTTCCATGATCTAACATCTTTTTGAGTTTGACAGTCACGGTAGCAACTCCTTAAAAAGGCACATGCACAGGTAGATTTTACAATGCACTATAAATTCTTCCTATGTTAGTGTTAAAGGTTTACTCCAAGCACCATAACAACTACAGTGCGCTGTAGGGGTTATGGTGCCTGGAGTACCCTGGTGCCCTTCCTTTGCAAGTAGTCAAGCAATTTTAGACTGGTTTGACTACATGTCTGGAGTCAACTTGATGCCATGTCCACTATTTACAAGAGAGAGACAGAAGCTCTCTGCCTAAGCTAAGCCCAGCAGTGCAGGACTTAGTCCATTGGCTGAGAGTTATCAGCTGAAGCTGTTAGGTAAAGGGCTAGCAGTGCAATGATTTTTTATGGCAAGCGTGACAGCATGCGCGCGTAACGTCATGATATGGCTGGGTATGAGCACTAACAGTCCCAGCTCTCCTATCCAGAGGGCATTTTTAAAATGTTTTGGGGGCACTTAGTAGTAGGGATCTACTGTAGGCTCTATGGCAACTTAAATTAGATTAAGTTGTTATAGTGAGTACAGTGTTCCTTTAATGAGACTTGTACATTTCATGATATAGGTACTAGATGGAACGTTCTAACCCTTGGTGATAGTATAAAAGATTTTCAGATAGTAGCATACTACCACAAAGATATGTGAGGTCTCTCTGTATTGACAAGGAAGGTCATATGGGAGTACATATATATGATGCCCCAACACTACAATATGCTTCTGATTTTAATAAATAAACACGTACGCAATATTTGGACAAATGTTTGCATGATCGTATTTAGCATTAGTCTCTCTCATCTCTCTCATTCTATTTGACAAAAAATACCTACGAGCAAAGTATTGTTCTTTAAAGAGAAATAAAGGAGTTTCCTCTTACTGAAACCGTTTTCGTTTTTTGAGCTTTAGAGCTAAGAACGCATTTTCATGACCCACTTCCATATATAAATATATAGGGAATAATATCAAATGAAAACAAATCAGAGCTTTATTGAGCATGAGAAATGCAAGTTATCTCAGACCAGAAGACCAGGCACACATGCAGATAACAGCAGTTCTTGACAGGGGGAAGGAATATGGCATGCAGTTGGAGGTACAGTAATTACAAACACCACAGTATATGACATTAAGCTTGTTTCATACCATTTGCTGATATTTCATATGGGATTACTCAACATGCAGGATCATAGACAGCACTGAACATATTTTATGAGTAGTGCTTCTTTGTGAAGCTGCACTTCGCAATTAAAAATTAAAGGGCATGACACTTAGCAGTGAAGATCCTGCACTTTATAGATATGTCTTATAAACATATGAAGCAAGTCGTATGGCAACAAATTGAATGGCCTCTTAATCAGAATGTGGTCACTAGCCAGTAGCAAGCCTGGTTAAGTCTATAATGTCAGTTTGTGCCAATAACAATTATCTTTTCCTTATTAAGCCCCACATATTCCACATTGCTTTATGGTGTAAGTGTTATTATGGGACAGTTAACAAATGACTGCTTTTACACATGGAGATACAGCGCAAGCAGAGACCCTTAATGGAATCTTATAAGCTAGTTTGTGTTACATTTATTCAAAGATAGGATGTAGTTTAAGGATTTTCTTGTTCGCTTAAAGAAATAACTGAGGTTCCTGAGAAACAAGAGAGGAATATAGTAACATTTTTAATTATCTCTTGTGCATTATGCTACGAGCAATCTGAAATGAGACAGGCAGCAGAGTGACTCTTCTGATCTTCATTGCTGTATTAATACAAAGTGCTAGCAAGAGTGGAGGAGTTTGTAAAGGAAATTTCTGTTTACCTTCCCAAATTATCTCCAAAAATGTAAACCGCAGACGTCATGCGCGGCATTTACATAAGCAATCATAGGACTTTGCATAATTTGCAAAGACCCAGAACAATGACATTGCTACTGGGGGTCCGGTAGTCAAATTTGGGTTTCACTGGCCGAACCTATCCATCGCTGGCGCCGCCATCATTTTCTGACCGGTTGTCACTACTGTACTCTAATGCATGCGCAAAAGTGCAGCATTGAGGTCTATTGAGGACCCTCCATAGATAGAGCCAATTCACTGGTGAGGACTGGAGGATTGACACTTCTTGACAGAAGTATCTCAGCCCTGTGTATAGACGTGTCAAGCAGTGGAAAATTGCTGAGACAAAGTAGTCCTTACTTTGTCTCAGTGTATCTTTTGACTGGGAGGGAGTTTCATTGAAATTCCAACGCGGTCAATTTGAGTTATTTCATAAAGATTTTACCTTTATGAAACGATAATTTTGCAAGGGTAGATGGCAGTGCTGCTTTAAACTTTAATTTAGCATGTTGTACATGGCTGGCATTGTTTAGCCTATTTTCTCCCTAAAGGTCTAGTGATTTCACTGTCTGTCTGTGCTGAACCTGTACACAGCACATTAGAGACACTGTCCAGAGAGGCTCTGAATGCATTTTTGTTTCTCCAGCAAAGAAGCATGGACTCGATGCACGAAGGGTTACTTTTTGGGAGTGGTATGCCTGGATGTTGTATTAATGTGACAACACATCATTTCATTTAGTAAGGCATATTATAGGTTGTGAATGTCAAATTTAAGTCTAGAGTAGCTGCAGTAAAAGCATAGCTCACAGAGATTTTTTTCCAATTTGGCTATTTTGACCTTTGACATTCATTTTTGAATTCACTTTGAATTCTCACTTTAATGAATAACCCTGATAGTATCGAGCATACATGCAAACACATATATACATATGCACATGGGTGGACAAAATAAGTGAAACACAGGACAATCCATGAATACGAATGACATGATAAGGAGAAGGCCACTAGCTGTCCTCAGTACAGGTACAGTTGTTATTGGAATGTTGAAATGCTGAAGTCTATATAAAGGGATATTGCACAGTACAAAAGTGTAGTAAATGAACATTCAGCGTTTTACAGACATTAACAATAGACCATCAAAGCAGAGGTCCCCATGTGATATCTAGCTGATCTCAAGGTAGGTTGTTCAGCTTTACTGTTTTAACACTGACAGAAACAGAAACAGAGATGCTTAATGCTCAAATAGCTACAGTCCTAAAAAAACGTAGTCAACAATTCTCATTCTCAACACAGACTGTACAGTAGGTTGTGAATGTTGCAAACCTGCAATTTATGCCAGGTATATAATATGCAAAGACACATCATCTAGAGCATGGGTCGTCAGCCTGGTCCCTACCGCCCATTAGTGGGCATTTCAGGATTCCAGGTGGGCGGTAGGGATTTCGGAGGCTAAATCCTCTTTCCTTTTGGGCAGGCGCGAGCGGCTCTGCGTGCGCAAGTCTTCAGTGACCGGCAGGAGGAAGTGCTCCCTCCTGCCAGGCCACCTTCTGGACCCCCCCGGCATGGCAGAGTTCTAATCAGACGCGGCGAGGGAGTTCTAACCTCTCTGCTATGCTCCCTCGCGCGATGTTTGCTTATCCCGCGGGAGCCGGAATATGACGTCATATTCAGGCTCCCGGCATCAGTAGACAGTCCGTGAGGGAGCAGAGCAGAGAGGTTAGAGCTCCCTCGCCGCGTCTGATTAGCCGCCCGCCCAAGTGAAGCCCCACTGGACCCCAGGGACAGATCCACACCAGCTCTCCAGGTAGGGAGGCTGGGTGGACATTTAATATTAATAATTTGTGTGTGTGTGTGTGTGTGTGTGTGTGTGTGTCTGTAAGTATATGTGTGTGTGTCAGTAAGTGTGTGTGTCTGTGTGTCTCTGTGTGTATGTGTGAGTGTTTGTAAGTGCATGTGTGAGTATGTGTATATTTGTGTGTATGTGTTTCTATATGAGTGTGTGTGTCTAAGTGTATGTGTGAGTGTTTGTCTGTATGTGTGTGTGTTTGTCTGTGAGCAGAGTACTTGTAGAATAGAAGAAAGAAAGTGCAGAGTACTTGTAGAATAGGAGAAAGAAGGAGTAGAGTACTTGTAAATAAGGAGAAGGAAAGAAAAGGAAAAGGAGAGAATTGTTGTTGACTAATAATAGTAAGTGGGCTACCTAGCTCAGCCTTCCAACTGGGCATTGCTATAAGTAAGGTTAAAAAATAGAAAAAAGGGGAAAAAAGGTAGGGAGGGGAATTGAGGAGGGAGAGGAGGGGAGCTGACGCACAGATGAGAAATCATTTTATGAGCAAACAAAGAAGTCTTCTGATTATCACCGAAAGAGGAGACCTTCGTTTGTTCCTTACGAAAATTGAACCAGATATCAAATATTTAGTCTCGCAGCATCAAACTCAAGAATCTCATTAATCACTAATAAAGGTAATTTCAATTTACTTTATTGCTGCCTCATTAAACTTTATAAAGTT